ATGAGGGAATAAGCGGCATTGATAATGGATGGATGGATGGATGGATATAACATAATTCACTGCATGCAGATGACAACTGTGTGCAAGATAGCAGGACCATTAGAGTAGGTTTGTAAAGGTAAAACTGAGTTTCGACTCTCAAATGATATAAGTGGTCTTAAAAAAGTATGTGTACAATTAACTTTTCCAGTAACAGAGAACCTTAGGCACTATAGTCCTTGATAGGGACAAGTGTGCAATGTACAGACAGGGGTGTATAAACAGTAAATGCCCTTTCGAGGCTAGGTGAGCCCAGTTGAAGTGGCTGTAACCTGCATAGACCCCATCCAATGGTCAACATGGACTGCAGACTTCGTTGGCTGGCTCCTTTGAAGTCCACTTCCAATACTCTGTGATGCAGTTAGTATCAAGAATCTTCATGGATTTGTTTTTAATGCTAAAATAGTAGAAGATATAATACAACAGTGTCATCACCACATTAAAGGTCAAAGTAAATTGATGTTACCTTGACTTGCAAAGGCTGCAACAGAATCTGAGTGTCATCTGGATCTGAGTCATCAGAATCATCCTGATTGTTTTTAGGGTGGACTGGTGCCCTCTTGGTCAGGTCTGCTGGTTCATTTTCCCTCAGTAATGCGTTAAGTTTACGAGCTGCCTCAAAACGAGTAGCTAGAGAACAAAAAGAGGATACAAACAAAATTACATAATAATAATCTGCTTATTACTCCCGAACACTTTTTGTATTACCAGACCATGTCATGTTTTCAAGCAACTGCAGTCATGACTATAATTTCTAACTCTGACTAAAAATGCAATTGTACATTGGAATGCTTCTTCTGATGTGTGAAAGAGAGAGATAGCAAATTAATGTAAATGAGATAGAGAAAGAGACAGATATTTGTCTAAATGCTATGTGATAACATTTCCCATTCAATGTATTATGCAATCACACTGTCAGTATTGCAATGTAGTTTTGTGTATAGTACACATTGTGCAGTTAGCAAAGTACTACTAGTTCATATTTTACCTAATTTCCATTCATATAAAATTAACTAAATATAAAACCATTCAACATCTAAGAGCAATCATCTTAACAGTTGTGTGCTTTAGTTTACTTTGACATTATAATTTTATAACATTTTGAAGAGCAGTAACTAAAATGGTAACAAGCTGGCTTAACATTTCAAATTAAATAATCATCATGTTTACAGTACAACATATTGCAAAGTCTCAGGTACTGAGCAAAAAAAGTAAGCACGTGAAACACCAACAGGCCAAATTAAGCAAATCTTTATAGAAATGTCATTAGATAGAAAGAGGACAATATCATTGTCAAAACACAGACTTACCACAGACAAAAACAACAGTGCCCCTGTAGTGTGGCCACCCTCCTGGCTGTTTCTTCCCATGGCGCCACTCGATAATAGCTGAGTAGGTGGAAATGGGATTCCCATGTTGGTCCATTTTGGAGTCGTCATACCTCCGTATGTTATCAGTTTTTACTTCACTAAGCTTCCCAGCATCCTCTCCCTCACTCCACCGCACAACTGCAAACTTCCTCTCCTTGTGTTCTGAAGTAATTAAGAGAACAAAAGAAGAAAGAAATTACTGATATTTATTGACGTCAGTCATTGCTTTCTCCTGGGGAAAATTTTTTTTATACCACAATGT